CCCTAAAGGACTCCTGCAGTATCCTCTCGGAGGCATTTCAAGAGGCTGTGGCAGGAAAAACTGCAGGAAGATGGAACGATGAGCCAGCTGCTATGAAACGCTTCATGGTTGTGATTGTGAAGGAAGACGACGTCGATACGTCACAGAGACCCATCAGCATCACTTCTTGTTATTGGCTGCTGGTTTTATCTGTCCTCACATATTGATAAGTAGCAAGAAATAGCACAGAAATGCCATATTTCATATATTAGAAAATGGGCAAGTTTATTTTTTTAACTGTAAAATGTGCATTTTTGTAACAATTGTGTAACAACCAACTTTTAGGAATCCAGATTGAGAATATCTGCGAGTGTTACGCTAATAAACAAAGAAATATTACACGGTTGTTATCATTTTTGTATTAGAAATAGCAATGCAGGTCCGACACTTTGATCTAGAGCGAAATATCTGAGCCATTGGACGGATAGTGAAATTTGTGAAGTGAAAACGTCCCATTCGTACGGGACTGGTATTACCTGGAGACCTCTAGTAGTTTAAGAAATCCATCGTGTCTGTTATTTATAAAGCAATAAATCTGCCATAATGTAGCTGATTTAATCTGAATCAACATCTGTGTGTTTTGAGGTTATCAGAAGAGTAAAACCTCGACGGATGTTCCGATAAACGGCGTCCGTGGCAGCGTGCTGTGAGGAACATTTTGCTGTCCTTCAACACGTTGCAGCTTATTAATATCAGAAACCAGACATTTCCCAGTTCTGTGCCAATGTGCTGCACAGAACACACATAATTTGTGTATCAGTCCCATGTGAGTAGGACTGAGAGTTAGGTTAAGGTCCCTTGAAATGACTCAGCGAGAGGAACTCCAAGTATAATTGCTGTTTGTTTGTGTTAAAGGGAACCAATTAGAATGGACTGATTAATTAAAATATTTAATAATACGATAATTAATTAACAGATTGGTGGATATCTGCTCTCAGCGCTCTAACCACTGCAGCACCATGTTGCACAGCCAGTGTGTGGCCTTTGCCTTCAAAACAAGTCAATATAAAATAAACTATAGAACGTAAAATAATAACACGCATACTTTACACTTTACAGTGCACTTTGACACTGTTTCCTCATATTTCTTTTCACACTTGTTTTTAATATATATCAACAGCCTTCATATTTATCACATTCTGAGAACAAAACTTGTTTGTAAATACGCGTCTCCATGTTGTTGTCAGTGCAGGTAATGAGCACGAACAATGAGCGCTAACAAAGAGAGCTAACAATGAGCGGTGACACATCGGTACAATGAGCCCTGCGGACCAACGCTGACAGCTGTCAGAGATATATAGTGAAATGTGGTGATCCGGAGGTCGCACCGTGAGACGGGTCCATTGATCGAACATGGGCCGAGCCAAAAGTCTGACAGGCACCGAGGACGAACTTCTCACGATGTCTGACTCATATCTACACACCTGCAAGTCACAGCGCAGCAGGAGAAGACACAAAACCCGCCAGCCAGTGATGCGTTAGAAGCTCCGATACACGTGTTACAGTGAGGTCAGGGCATGTGAATCGATCATAAAGGCACATTTTTAAATGAAGATGATATAAATCAAACTTAGTCAAAATTTAGTTGATGTGTGTCTATTTACATGGTGTACATCACTACAGTTTTATTAATAATATCTATGCGTGTCATCTAAATCTAAATTCCTGTAAAATTCATAGTTACGTCTGACCACACTGTTGGAGATGCAATTATCCTGTCATGCCAGGTTCAGACACAATATCCACATAAAGGCGGTCAGGATCTGTAAGATGTTTGGACAAAAAATGAGCATCAGGTGAAGCAACTGAAGCTTTTATCCATCCTGTGGATATTTTGTGGGGCACCATCGCTGCATCCTGGGCTCTGCACCACCTAAGACAATTGGGATTGGTTTAAAGAAGTACAAAGCTTTGAAAATGCAGCCATTTTTGTCGTCTTCTTGTCTTTTTAAGTACACAACAATATACGTTTACCATGTAAGTTCAACCAATTTATAATAAATAGCTGTTAGTTTGTTACTCTTACTCGGCATGTTGGAGAGTTTGTCTGATCACAGCGTCGCTGCTTTTGTTTCCGTCTGTCTGGGAAAAGTAGAACTTGTAAGATAATGGACTTTAAATAAGTTTTAGTTGGATAACATTTGTAAAATCCAGATTCTGTTTGTGTGAGACGAAGCGTGCTTGAAATAAATGCAGGTGAAACCACCCAGGAATCCTTAACAACCGCTAGACAAGACTCTGAAAACACCTTAACTGATGGTTTAAAACTATGCCTCTTCTTTCTGCCGACGGACAGCAAACCTCTAAAGTTCAAAAATCAACTTACTTTGCAGCCATGACACCTCGGCGTTGGAAGGATTTTTCAAAGTCGAGCTCCACACCTGAGCGCTGTTCGTCAAAGCCGACACGCTCAAACGGCCCCATAGTTAATGTTGATGTAATTATCAGCTGTGCGGCATCTTCCGTATATTCAGACCCACCGTCACAGTTTTACATTCGCCGCGCATCGCATTGTTATTCTAATAACCTCTCGCTTGTGTATCATACATTTGGTGTATTTACTGTGGGAACTTCAATAAGTTTGGCGAGAGCCATAATGTTATCAGTAATATACACACAAGGCATATCCCCTCCTCGGCAGCGAGCGCGGCACAATGGTCCGGCCGTTATCTCTAATTAAGAAGTTGACTGAGGCATGAAGATTAGTCGGGCACAGAAAGAGCAGAGTGTCCGACGTGATCGGCATTACAGATTTTGGCGCCGGGCACTCTGGGAAATGGAAGTTATCAAACGGAGCAGGAGGCTGGAGTCTCGGACGGTTTATGGTGTGTTTGACTCTGGAGTCGCGCCTTCGTATCTTGTTCCAGTGTGTTGGCGTGTACAATAATTCAATACTTCAGCCACGCTGCTAAAAGATTAATGGTCTTATTCTTCCCTGTGTGTTTTTACACGTTGAGACAGAGGATTTGGTGGAACATGTGAGCGTTAAACACCGGTTTGTTTAACCTTCTGAACTCGGTGCTCGTGTGACATTTTTTACTCGCTGTGGGCTCATTTTTCACTGCGATATGAAGTCCTGTACCTCGATGGAAACAGAACAACCGCGAATAGAAGGAACTGTCTCATGTGCAATATGGCACAGTCATAATACCATAAATCATAAAAGACACACAAAATAATTGACGTACTTTGATTACTTGTCTTATAAATGTTGAAAAAATGGAAAAAAATTAAATTAAATTTGGGTGCCCATAATACTGGAAAACAAAAGGCTCCACGCGCTAGCAAAAGGCTAATTAATTAACCACGTCTCGAGAGCTGTTTCACCATGTCGAATATATATTCCAAGAACTCTGCACACTGTCTTTAAGCCACCCTGCGTTGATTTTACTTGTCACATGGTTTTTTATTAAACTCTTGATCATTCGGTCGCCTCCTCTCTGCTCTGTGGAAACACTGCCTGCAGGTCAGATGATTCTCTGTCGCAGGTTTTTCAAGCAAACTGTTTATTCTTGGTGAAAGTTCCAAACGAGGCACGTGGAATAAAGTCATTTTGATGAGTTTTAAGCTTAGATTCGTTCATTTTTCCTGGTGAAACCATATGTCCCACATGACACATTCGAGGACTGTCGGAAACTTGTTTTTTCAGTTTCTTGCCATCATAACTGGTGGCATTTTGGCATTTTTTGTGAAGAAAACATGACTTGTAAAATTTACTGGTGAGTTTTGGGGTTAAAAGGCTGGGACAGGTTAGATTTCCTGACCAGTAATGCTTTGTGATTGTCCTCTCCAAGCTGCAAAGACAGAATATGCGTGACTATTTCAGTGTCATAGGAGGAAGTTTGGGTTAAATGGTTGGTTTAGGAACCATCAAAGCTTCACTTTCATATCAGAGTCTAATTTTCAATCCTTTAACACTCATCATTGGTCTCTATCACTGGGACACGAACCCCAACAATGACAGTAGTTTTGATGGGTTGTAGACCTGCTGCTGAGTGAGGAAGCCACTTTGCATCCAAAGTTCACATCACGTCTTATCAGCTGATGTGGTCTGAAAGTATTTATCTCAGGGAGACGAAGCACATATCAAATAAAACCGCAATTAATTTGAATTTACATCAAATTAATTTATAAAAATGACCTATGTCTCTCTTCAATCCATTAGTCCTGTTTTAATTACCAGTGAACTTGTCCGTGCACAGATATATTGGCGTCTAGATGTTTTATTATCTATGTGATGCAATAAGAAAGAACAGGACCAGAGCTTCGCAGTTATGCTCGTTGTTATATGTATGAAGTATGAATAATGATGTAAAGACAGAGCTGAAGAGTAAAATCTTTACTAATTTCTTCATCAATTTTCAAACTGCTGCTTCTTGGTTGAATAAGTCACAAAGTTCCTGTTTTCTAATAGCATAGACCAACCGTATATATAAAAAAAACACACACACACACACACAGCAGAAATGACCCTTCTTGATGATACCAGTTGTTTCTCTGTGCACCAAAAACTAATCTAACAAATCTCTGCAACATTGCTCTGACACTGTGTCCCACTTTATATGGAAAAACCCACAAAAGAGTGTTTTTTATTGCAGTGATCCCAAAGTTATGGTCTAAAGATGGAAGCTGTGTACAAGTTGGTATTTGTGATCCGACACTACACTTTCAGATGATATCAAAAATCTGGAAGAATACTTACATCCAATGATGGTCTGACTGTTCTGGAAAAAAAACATAGCATGTATGGTTGGACCTTATCCTCACCAAGATGAGCACTTACAATTAGTTTAACTACCCTAAAAATAGTCTGGGGTTCAGAGGGGTTAAAGCAAGGTGGATATCTGTTATCCTGTCATGAAGAGATTTGTTTTTCATGCTCGTGTCTAGAAGAGAACAAACAGTCATTGACAACCATTGAACCTCGAACTAAACAAATAACCTTGTCGATTTCTCCGCAGGGCCGCCCGCTGTTCCTGCAGTCGTCCAGAAACGTGTCGGTCAATATCGTCAACAGCAACAACCAGCTGCTCACGCAGCTCGTAACAGGTAAGACTCAGCGGGAGCAGCACCGGCTGCTTTCACCGACTCTGTCGATGATGTTTCTTTAATGCGATGCAGCACGCGTGTTTGAAAAATGTCGATCCCGGAAACTTCAATACCTGCAACAGACGCATGACACAGGTTTGTGTGTGTTGGATTAGACGGCCAACAGGAGAGATTTTATCTTAAGTCGTGTCATCGTGGCTGTTTTCAACCATTCCTCATTTTTTAAATGCGTCTCTTTTTGAAAAATGTCATCGTTTAGTTTGTGTTTTGTTTCAGAAATGTTACTTTTTAAAAATGTCTACGCTTTTTGAAAATACCCTATTTTGTTGAAAATGTCCTCACATCTCAAAAAAGGTCCGAATTTTTATTTTTTTATTTTTTTAAACTACATACTTTTTGAAAAATATCGTCATTTTTTGTTCCCTCTTTGTGAAACTGACCTCAATTTTAGAAAATATATTTCTTCAAATGTCCTAAATTTATGAAACATATCCTTATTTTCTCGAGAAGGTTCCCACTTTTCTGAAAATGTTTTCACCGTGTAGAAGTGTGGTTAATGTTTTAAAATGTGTTCTCTTTTTGACACAGGTCGTCCCTTTTTTGAAAATGTCTTTACATTGTGAAAATAAATGTCAAAGTCTCCAACACCAAAGGATTTTTAAAAAACTTCTCAAGATTAAAGGATCCAGTGTTGCAAAGATTTGTGTTTTTTTCACAGCCTATTTAGAATTTTACAACTCTCAGACTGACCCGTCACCTTATCTAACCCAGACACAGACGCAGAATTCATTGTTTTATCATCATCGTCATGATTTTTTTCCTCTGTTCGTTTTAAATGTGCCAGCACAAGCTTCCGTCTTTCCCCCATAACTCTGCGAAGGCACCTTCCTCTTTACATCCCCCGTTCTGCACCTGTCACTCTCTAATAGAGTCGTTGCCGAATAGAAATCTCTTCGTGTGAGCGTGCACAGGAAGCGTCTCCGGCGTTGAAAAGCGCGCTGACATTTTGCCTCGTGGGTCTGAAGAGGAGGAAGTCTGCTCGGATGTTCCTCGTGGATGACTGAGCGGCGTTCATGTACGGGGAGGAACTTCACATCCCAGATGGAGAGTGACAGAATCAATTGCGGGCTTGTCAATCAGTCACCCTCGGCGACGAGTGTTTTCTGCCGCTGCATGAGACAAAGCAATTTGAGTTGGAGGGAGTTGTCTGCATGTTCTTGTTTGTCGTGACACCAGTCACAGCTTTGGCAGCTTTGCATCGCAGTGTTTCCTGCAGACTTCCAGTGAAATGTGTTGAGAATTGTTTTACACTCGTGTTGTGGTGGAAATCTCTTTCACCAACAGGTCGTATCTGACTATAACTGTATGGCTGCTTTATTCTATTCCATTTAATGTATTTGTTTATTTTTTCCCAGATTTTGGAGTGTTGTCTGATATGTTTATAGAACGTTGTAATTTAAAGTTAAAGGTTTCCGACACTAATCAGCCGCAACCTTACAACTATTGCCAGGTTAAATGGATAACATCGATCATCTGTTTACAATGGCGTCTGTGAGTGTTTGGGATATTTGAGGCAGCAAGTGAGCAGTCAGATCTTGGAGCTGATGTCTTGGAAGTAGTAAAATGTCATGCCTAAGGATGTGACCAAGATGAACCGCAGACGACTCCGAACTGGAAGGTGTTGTGGGGTACTTCCGGTATACAGTGGTCACCACAAGTAGACCAAGGAAGGACAACCGACAGTTAATCTGCAGTACATTTTCTGACATTTCTGATATTTTTGATCAGTTAAATTATCAGCAGCATTTAATTAAATAACAATAAACTACTGACATCCCTGGTTGTGGCTGATTGGTATGGATATTCGTGGTGTTGATGTTTCCAAAGCAGCATTTGGTTGGAACTAAACCTGCACATCCTGCTTTAAACCAGCTGCCAATAAACAGCAAAAAGGAGATTTAGCATCACTTTGACAAAGGTAAAAGAAAGGTTTCTGCATCCTGCACACTCAATTCTACGTATACGACAGTTTTTAGGGTGTCTGAAACGTCACATCGAATACAGAACAACACTCAGATGGATGTTTCTTCAAGGCTGGCTGTGACTTTATGTCTTTTACTGATCTTCACAGCAGCTCGCTACAGATTGGACTTTAACACTGTGTGGCTAATAGCAATGGAATAGCCTGCATTTTGTCTCCTTCCTTAACCAAGCTGGGTGGACAGATGCAGCACAGGATTTCTGGAGAAATTTGGAACTTTGCACGTTTTTTTGTGCACCACCAGTCCAGCGTCGACCTTTTCCAATTCCAACTCTTTCAGTGATCAATTTTAAAGATTTGGATGATGAAGAGTTTCCATCAGAACTGGCGTACACATTGTTTTTCTGGAGCGTGTGCAGTTTTTAAATGTTAGCTGCCAACAGACGTCCACAGAGGAGATTACCTGAAGCGAACCTGGGCTGAATTTCCGTCACTGTGACCCTCGCTGACGTGAAAAGTGTGTTTTTATCAATCAGAACACATTTTTCGCATTTGCTGTTTTACTGCACCCCAACTGCTGTGCAAATTAATCGCAATTCCAAGACATCATGTAGCAAATACACACTGGGAAGGTGCTTTTCAAAAAAACTACACAACCTTAAAAAAAACACCCAAACACAAATGTGAAAGTCTGTGTCTGAAAAACTGGAAAAATTCTTATCTGTTGGAGTCGATGTATCAGCCGGACTGAGAATTAATGTCGCCCAGCAGTTCACTGCAAAATACAATATACAGAAAAGAAGACTTTTCGGGGAGGTTTATCTGGTTTAAAAATGTTTTGCTAAAGATTTAAATGATGTAGACATGCACAAGATTACATGAGATTAGCTTGTAGTGCAGCAGATGTGGAGGAAACTTCAGTAGAACATAAAAATAACCAAAAAAGTAAGCACAAGTACTCATTCTTCTACTTGTGGATGTTGCACTGATTCCTTTTGGTTGTAGGTGTAGAAACATTGATAATGCATAGATTGAATATGTTGACGTTGCACCATGTTGAGTGAAATATGTGTCCTTTACTGGGAGCAGCAGGAAGGAAGGAAGGACCTGCGATCTTTCCTCCTGAAAGTTAAGAATCTGTCACCAAACTGCCTGTTTCATAGTTCAACCAATTCACTGAAACGTGTCGGTCTCGTGACTGTAAACAACATAAACGCAGAGTCGGACGAAGTTCTCTTTTGCTGAAGTCAGCAAGCGATGCAGGACACGTGGAGCGCCTCCCACCTGGACGCGCATTTAAAGTTTTTTAAATTCTGAGGTAATTCGGTAAGAAATCAGCTCCTCTTTGATGTCTGCTCTCTCTTTCTGCGTTCTGGTTCAGGATCCAGTGGATTTAAAGCACGAGGCAAGATGTTTGAAGTCAAATCCACCTCTGGGAAGCTGCTCTTCTCGGCCGACGAGCAGGAGGTGGTGGTGGGCGCCGAGAGGCTCCGAGTGATGGGTGAGTGACCGGACCTTCATCCAGGTGTTGGAGGTTTGCTAACGGAGGGCACTTTGCTCCTCCAGACGTGCACATGCTTTGGTTCCTGTTCATATCTTATCATTTTTCTTCCAGCAGTGTCAATGCAAAATGTCCATACTGTGTAACTTGTGTCAAACTGATGCACAATAAATGCAAAGCAGCATAATGTGGCGCTTATATTAGCATCACAAGCAGCCGGCGGGTAGAGAGTCGGTCTGTGCTGGTTCTACTCGTGTCAGAGACGAGCGAAGTGACAACTAGCTGCAGAGGATGATGAGGATTTTTCAGAGAGACTGATGGTGTGGAGCTCGTATTTGCGAACGGGACTGCTGGGGAGAAGGGCGACGCGGAGTCCTTTAGACAAACTCATTTTGTGCTTATGACAGGAGATAAGAGGTGAGGGAGTCGTCCCATCGGCCGGTCGGCCTTCTGAGTGACGCGGCGCCGTGACGGACGATTTCCTGCGAGAGGCCGCAACTCAGCGCGATGAAATTAGCTCCCTGAGAAAACACGAAGCAGAAACAAAGCAGCAGAATCGAAGCTGCGACGGGAATCTGCCCACAGCAGGCGGCAGATTTAAGCTAAATGTTGACTTTCCGAGGCCACTGTGGTAGCTTAGACGGAAAATCTGGAATCTGGTTGACAAGAAACCAAAACCTGAGAGTTTTACTGAGTTGTTTGGACTCGGTAAAGGTGAATACATGATATGCAAAGTGGATGGTTTGTCTAGAAATGGATTCGAAGAGTTCACTGCTTGCCGTCTGTTGCGACAAAGTCCAGAGGTCTGATCTGACTGCTGGAACTAATATGATCCAATCTTACTTATTCCAGGGAAGAATCCATCAGTGCCTCCCTATTTTACATGCAGTCCTGTTATATCGCATTAGTAGTTTACTGAGTGGTCCTGGAACTGTTTGTCCAATCTGCATCTGTAAACATGCAAATATTTGCTGTAGTTTGGGCCAATAGGATGACAGGGAGGTGCTCTGTGAAAACAAATGTCATTTATTTTATTGCTTTATTGTTTTTTTTTACCAACCAATCCGATACTAGATGTAGCGTGACTCATCACTCTGGTACAAATGACAGTAAAAGGGTTTAATTTTTAAACTCAAACCCAGATGAGTCAAGCACTAAAGCAGCACTAACAAAACTTCATCCTCTGAGAAACCAGTGTCTAACCATTTGTTAGATTTATATCTCACATCTTACAGTTGTAGAAGCCCAAAAGTCTTCAAATGTTTGATTTGTTGTGAGTATTTATGTGACAAACAGGTTTCTTCTGCCCGTAAATGGCGCCAACAAGTGACAAAAGGCAGAAAGTCGTTGTTTTAACGATGTCAGGGATGGATCTGAGCAGTTTTTTTTACATTTTTACCAGAAGCGTGTGCTCCAAATTGATTAAATTGATTGATTGATTGAAATTGTGGCTACTTCTTGTACCATTTGGTAATTTCTTCAATGTTCTACAGCATTCTGATTATAAACTGAGAACAGCTGATCCATTATATGTTGGTTCTAGCTTCGAACATGCTTTTATATATGTGACAATATCAACCAAAACGTGGCATCTTCTTAACCGTGTACCTAAACCGAACCAAACAGCAGGTGAAACCGAAAGTAAACGAGGAGTGAACATTGTGTACATATTTACCAAAACTTTAATGTCTAAGTTATTCACATCCATTTAAATTGTGGTTTGTTTTTTGAGAAATTGCAGCTTCTTGGTGCCTAAATGTTACCAAGCATCCAATGTATATATATATTTACGTGGCAGTAGCAATGAAAACGTGGTATTTTTTAAATCCTAAGCGTGTAGTTTTGGTGCCTAAACCAAACCAACCAAAACCAAAAAGTCAATGAGTGTACATAAAATTCAGTTTGTAAGAATAGGATATAACAATATATAGTCAAACGCTGGTCTCCATCCTCCTCACATGGCCCAACATGGCTCTTTACAACTGGAAGCCTTTATAACGACACCATAGGTGAGAAAATATACATGTTTTAAGACAAGGTTGCATGTTTCTCCCAGTTAAAATGCTGTTTAGTCGTTTTCAAGGTAACTCTGTGGACACAGGTTTGCCGTTAATGACTTCACTCAGACCTGTTCCTGTCTCAGGCTAACTTCCTTCACAGGTGTTTCGTGCTTAAAACTGAACCCGGAAGACTTTGGCCCCCTTTTTGTTAAATATAAAAAAAAAGAACAAAGCGCATCCCGTCGCAGGCGAAACTCGGAAATCTGCGCAGAAAAACCTTCAAAGGCCTGCGGCGGTTATTAGAGATTAGACAATACACGGCCGAGTTCAAAGGCACGCCAAGGAACACAATCATAAAATAATAAGGACATGAATCGCACGGAGAAACTTTTAGCGTAACGGGAGTCTTGTGGGAGCTCAAAGGGCCGACTGTGTGCTGAGGCAGCGGTTGCCAAGGTGTTTGATTAGCCCCGTCGCCCTGAGCGCGCTCATCAAACGGCTGCCGAGATAAACGCAGTAATTGGCAAATCACGGCCGCTCGTTCTCCCTCCGCGACTCTCTCCCAACTGCTTTTTACTGTTGTCACCACAACGGACTGAAAGGCTGAATTAAATACTGTGTTTTTTATGACTTTGTCTCCGTCATGTCTGTCTCCAGAGGGTGAAACCTGAACGTACGACTCTCTCTGGATTGTAAAAGAAGCAGAAATTCACTCTCAGGTTTTTAGCAAAGACACTGACGGGCGCAGATTTTATTTAGGAAGTCTGGTGTGTCACAGCTCCCGGAGGATAAATCGTCATTATTTTTAATAACCTTCTGACCTTTCGTCTGCTGTGGATATTCAGGCTCTCTTGAAGATGATTCATCCTTTCAAACTTTCCAGCTTTAACACCCTCATTTGTGCAGCTAAACCCAAAGTAATTTGTGATTTTTGTGTGGTATTGACAGAAACAAGTGATAAAAGATGGTGAGACTTTCTGTTCGAGGTGTTGATGATACACTTCTGTACGTTTTTACCAAGAAAAACACAAAATATTCTCACAGAAGTTATTGTTAGAGCCTGTATTTGCCACTCCGTCAAAGAGGTGCTCACCAGCTGTCTGCAAGTTCAGCGAGGTTCAGCTGATTTCCTCGTCTTGTGAGCAGCCACGATGCACAACTGGAGCTGGAACTAATCACAGTTTCAATGGATATGAATCATTTCGACATTGCGTTTTTAGTAAAGATTTCTAACACATTGCTGTACTCGCAAATGGTAAAGAAACTGTACAAAAATGCACTAAAATGCTTTGAAATTTACCCAAAATTGCCTCAAAATTGTCCAAAAGGACTCAAAAATGCCCATAATGCCTTAAAACATGTGTAAAATTATCTAGAAACTGTCAAAAATGACACAAAATGAATGGAAACCTGTCCAAACTGAGTTTAAAACTAAATCAATGCCTTAAAACTTGTCTAAAATGACTAAAAAAGTTGTCCAACAGGACTGAAAATTGCCCAAAAGGACCTACACTTGTCCAAATTGGCTTTAAATAAGTGAAAACCTTTAGCCACTGATGGTCTAAAATGCTTCAAAACATGTCCAAAATGATTCAAAAATTGCACAAAAGGAATCAATATTGGCCAAAAATGATTGGATTCCTTTCTAAAAGTGTTTAAACTGTTTAAAAATGCTTTGAAATTTACCTAAAATGACTTAAAAATTGCCCTTTAACGATTCAAAATTGAGCAAAATGTCTTAAAACGTGTAAAATTAATGACAAACTGAAACAAAATGATTTGAAACCTGTCCAAAATGAGTTGGAAACTATTTGAATTCTTTAAAATGTGTCTAAAATTATTTTAAAAGTTGTCCAACAGGACATTTTGCTCAAACGGACCCGACCGTGTCCAAACTGCCTTTAAACTAATTAAACACTTCGTTAAAAATGTTTAAAAATGTGTCCAGAATGACTCAAAAGTTGCACAAAAGGAATCAAAGTTAATCAAAAATAATTCCGACGTCCCACCGACCATAGAACCTTTACTTCTCTCTCTAAAATTTTGGGCGATTTTGTGTCCTTTTGTACAATTTTAAATCAATTTTAGTCTCATTTTAAGTCATTTTAGACAGTTTTCAACTCAAATAATTTATACTTACGCCTGGTCTTTGATAGAATATTGAAATTAGATAGAAAAACACAAACCACTCGTATAATGGTGCAAATCTGGTTTAAAAAAATGTCATCCATAAGACCATAAAAGCTTTATTTTCCGACCTAAAAAGCAGATTTTTCCTCCTGTGCCTGGCACCAATATTAGCTTTAACACCGTGGAGTCTGGAGCCAATCAGACGGAGACACTTGATTTTATTTTTATTCATATTTGTGAACATGCAGTGGAAGACTTACATGATATTGTCGCTGTGACTAAAAGAGAAATCAAAGTTTTTTTCAACTAATTTCACAAAAAGTGAGCAATTTTTATAAATGTGTTCATCATGACCTCGTTAGCGACAGACTCGGTCACATGGAAACGGTTTTTGGGAGCAAAATAATGAATTAATATAATAACATACAAACACAAGATGGTGATTTTATTTTATTTTAATGTCATGAATTGAGGCTGAACGACCCCAGTGAGCTTAAACAAGCCAGACCGCAACCAAAACGGCACCTTTCTATTAGAACCACTCGGCTCGTCCTCCGTCAGCAGCCTCCATCTGTCGAGCAGCACTTTGCCGAGGCGCTGACAGTAATGAACTCTGACTCAGTGAGGCTGGAAAAGGATGTAAATGAATGTAGATGAGGATGAAGAGTAATTGCTCGCACAGGGGGCTGTGAAAGGTGAGCGTCGGAGCGAGAGGAAGGCAGAAGCCGTCGCGGCTCTTAACTGGAGGAGAAAGAGGGAAAAAAGGAAAAAGAAAAAGGGGCCGACACTTCAGATGTCTGTTTATCTATTAATGAAGCTGAATGGACGGATCGCGCGGGCGGACGCAGGGCTGAGGGTGAATGACGGCAG